TTGCGACTTAGTGCAGGAGTCGTAGGTGTAGTTTTTAGGTTAAAAAGTTTTGAGACCCTAGTATTACTATTACCATTTAAATAACTTATAGCTAAGATGATATAATCAATATTATATTAAAAAATGTACAGAAAGATCTATAGTCAATAGCAATTTGTAATGATCATGATTGAATGCAAATATCCTATTGTATATATATTATTTTTGTTAAAATTTTATATATTGCAAAAAACTAAAATTTTGTGACAAAAAATAATTAATTATTTTTTTAAAGGGTCATGTCATAAGGAATGCGTTGAAATAATATTTTTTTATGAATCGTACGTAGATATTTGTTCAGACAGTTGATAATAAATAAAATGTGTTCCAATATCCATTGATTACATGTGAAATGTGACGTGACACACATCCATGCACCGATATTTTAGTACAAATAATATCGGAGGAGAAGGGGAGAAAAGTTGGAAAGAGTAATGGGAACAATCTGTTATAGCAGAAGATGCGAAATGACATACACTTATAGAGTGGCAACTGGAAATTTTTACCACTCGATAAATGCCAGAGACGTCAGGAGCCAGGCGCATCCACATTTTAGCATTTCGCATCCAGAAACTATTCATATTTTTCGTTTTCCGCTTCGGTCTTTCATCCTCTTCTTTCCATGTCGTATTGTGTATATGTGAGTATACATGCATGTGTATATAACAAACATATACACAGTTTGCAGCGAAACAGACATCCGACCGAACAACAATCGATACGGGAAAAATTTGAATATCAGAGAAATACTCTAAACCGATCTTGTTTTCCTCTCCCACAATAATGACTTTACTATTATTGCGTTCCATTTGGTAATACGTACAGTATTTTGTTATTCCACATTGCTCGTGCATTTTATTAGACACGATAGGAATTTTCTTTTTTTTTTCACTTTGTTTTTGTATTGCATTTGTAATGCAAATAATATTGCATTCGAATTTCCAATTCAATTAAAGCTATACATTTTATTACAAATCCGTGCAACAATAATTTTCAAATCCTACAATATTTATTTACAATTCGTTCCAAGTTGTTGATTCCAACATTTTTACATTAATGATACAAAATTAAATCTTTTATTCTGCAGCTTTTTTATACTTATTAATTATAATAAATAATTATAATTTATAAAATTTGTATACAAGAGTTTCTTGCAACAATATTTTTAGATTTTCTAATAATTATTACAATTGATGCTGTCAACACAAACAAATCAATATTAAATTAAGCTTTGTTATGAAATATATCAATATACTAAAGTATATTTCAATTATTTCTAAATAGAATTTTTATATACAAAAATAAATATTTATTACATCCATTCTAATTATTTTCTTTAATGTTTTTTTTTTTATTAATTATACATTTTTCAATATTTTGTTTATTATACTTATTTCATTACATTACCGATTTTTTCTCTTAATTAATTAATTAATTAATTAAATAAATAATAAACTGTTAAAAAAATGAAAAATCTAGATTGATAATCTTTTGATATAAATTAGGGTTAACACAGGGTGGCCCAATTGAACTGCAACTTTTCAGAAAGCTGTATCTTTTTTATTTGAAATTGGATTTTATTGAACCAAAGCAAAAAATGCTGGATAACAATTAAATTTTTGAATACATTTAAAATTTTTGATATAACGTTATGAGTTGGTCGACAAGCGAGTCACACGCTGAATGAATGTGAACTTGCGGAATCTTCCTCCATCACGAAGAAGGGCTTTATTGAACACATTAACACTCTGGTATTTTTTTAGGACATTGGCCTGTAAAATGACCCATGCCGATAAGACGAGCGGTGAAATGAAGAGTGGAACTTTGTCTCTCGAACCTAGTTTTTTTTTTAACATCTGTGAGATCTTGTCCTTTTTGGATCTTGTAAGGCTTTACTTTGAGTTTGATTTTGAGTATGTGTTGCATGGTTATTATTGAAGGCAACTTAACTTAACATAAGTTGTCTTCGACTTGCTCGTGGATTTCATTCAATTCGAGCCTTATGTTTCCGAACCACTTCTACCACAGATGTAGTTTTTTCCGACCACCAAAATAGCATTTTTTAACACTACTAGCTTCGTTATAATATGTTATGGTTCGAGACACAAAAGATTTATTCACATTAAGGTGTTGGAGGGCTCTAACAATAGCCACTTTTGGTATTCCGCTCAAATAGTGGGCTCTCTCACTATTGCGTTTGAAATGCATCACTGATAACAAAAAACTGAGATACAAATGCTTCCGCAGGCTTGTAAATTATAAAATCAGCTATCATTAAACGAAATATGGACACAACATTGCTAACGGTTCAAATTTCAAATTGGACTGTACTGAATCCGTCGCCGCACTATTCGAGGTATTGCTGTACTTCTATTTGTTCTAAATATATAAATGCACCTAAATTATTTCTAAACACAATTTCCTAATAATTTATGTGTCGTATAAGGATCTGAAAGTAATTCATATGTTTAAAAATTTTGTATTTATTTTATTTTTGTTAACATTTTATAATTTGCACAAATATAAAATTTAATGATAAAAATAATTTATGAATGTAATAAAAACATATTTTTAAAGAATCATGTACTGAATCCGGATTAATCGATGCCGCACTATTCGAGATGTTGCAATCAATGCATATATCAATTAAATGTACTTAATTTATTTCTAAACACAATTTCTTTTATAATTTTGGTACAAGGATCTGATAGTATTTGTAGGGTTGTTGAAACACCTCCAGCATTTGCTACTACGGTACAGTTCATATGCTTATAAATTTCAATAATCACAGCTCGGCTTCGAAACCTGAACAACAGGTGATGATTAACTCGTAACAACTGTAATTGATGTAAACTAATTTACAACATACACGCATTGTTAAACAAATTGTAAATTATTAATAATGGATTTCCCATTGCAATTATTTCAACCAGATTATGGACTGAAATTATGTTACATAATTTTAATATAATTAAAATTAAAACTTTATTACAGATAAAAGTTCAATTATTATCCAATAAAAATAATTAATGTTAAAATGAAGGAAAATTTGAAGTCAATAAATGCAGTAATTAATATAGTAACAATATCTAAATAAAGCCTCTTTATACAATAATAATAAAAAATAAAAAGTTAATTATAATAACTCAAGAATATGTTTTCATTTATTAAATTAAATTAGTTTACGTTTTTTATTTGCTTATTATTAATAAGTTTTTCATAATTCTTTATTATATTACTAAAATAATATCATACATTGCTGAAATAAATTAAATAAAATAAAGTTATTAAATATTATTGAGATATTAATTATTATCAGGAATATTCAACATAAAATTAAATTTATTTATATTTTCTTTGCATTCGTTAGAAATGAACTCAAAGTAATAAATATGGAAATTCATCTGTACTGGAAATTAACTATTTGAAATCTTTGTAGTTATATAAAAGTTCAAGTGAGAATGTTTGAAGAAAGTTATTGGTTCTTTGTGTTAAATAAAAAAAAAACAGGAGTATACATAAGATCCTCTAAATGTAAACAGTGAAGAAAGCTATGGAAATAAATAGCTGCGCTTGAATGCCACATAAATGTTCTGGCTATAAATCCTCTTGACAACAGCTTAAGACTCCAACAAACCGAATCAATTTGATCCACTGGATTTACCTAGGAGATTTATTAAACAACATATATTAACACATTATTGAGAGTATATTATTAATCGAGAGATTTTTCACTCTTATAGTTACAATCCATTTATATTGAATAAATGGACTATAAGAGCCAATATAAATTTGTAATTAAATATTTTATTTATTTGTTTATTTTAATTATTTTTAATAGTAAATTATATTAATAATCTTTTTTGTAACACATAATAAACATTTGCATGAGATTCTTTATATTTTTTTTTCCTTCAGAAGCTTGTTGACCTAAATCTTTATGCTTTATTATTCTAATGATAATTTGTAAAATCTAGAATACAAATTTCTTGCAGCGTTTTATAACAATCTTTAATTATGTAATCAAGAAATTGATAAACTTATAGTAACAAAATTGATTGAATGTAGAGTATATAATTTCTTTATTTATTAATATGCAAACAACTTTACTAGGATAATAGATTCTCGTTAAAGTTTGATAGTTATATATTGATTGTTCTTTAAAATTATTTTTATCTTTTTATTTTCCATATTTTGAGAAATGATATTAACGCGAAATTATTCTACTAGACCAGTTGTAAAAATTAAAAGAACATACCAATGTTGGTTATAAAGATTTAGACGATTTAGATGTCCCGTCTTGGATTCAAAGCAACACATTTGGTATTTATTTCTCTTTGCAAGAAGAATTGAAACCAAAGAAGAATTTGGGAGTCTAAAAATCAAGTGAGTTTTTGCTAATTTTGGGCATTGCAAATACATTTTTAAAACATACGTCAGATTAACAAATACCTTTGAAAAATCATTTTGAAATTATTCTAATTCTTATTTGTTATTACGAAAAATAAGAAATAGATTAACAACATCAGAACGCGTTGGTTTAAGATTATTGTAACTATTTGCTCTAAAAGTATTACTAAAAAAATATCAACCACAATAATTGGATTAATCTAATTTGAATTTTTATTTAAGGTGATCATTATTGAAGTCAAACGAAGTTATACAATTTTTTATTAATAAAAAACTATTATGTAGCTGGATTTCTTATACCAATAGCTATTTGGGAAACAATTTAGAGGTCCATGATTTTTTTTAAGTAGGTCGATATAGAAAAAGGTTTGGGATTCCTTGTTATATAGCATTTTATAGAGGCAGAAATATTGAAAATTATAAACGTCAGACTATTTGCAGAAAAAGTCATATTTATCTACCGGAATATATTAGGAGCGACATCTAAAGTTTTTGGAATAAAATTTTAAAAAAAAGCTGAATCATAATGTATAATAATGTGTTATATTTTATTTGTTAGTGTAATATTTTATTGGAAGAGCCGCACTCGGCTCGGGAGCCGCTATAATGTACAATAACATGTTAAATTTAATATTAAAAGTAATGTATTCAAGTATTAAAATTTTGGGTTTAGTACAAACATTTTCACAAATAAAAAATTAAATGAGTATTTTCAGGTAATTGCTAAATGAATAACTACTCTATTAATATTCTTACATTTTTCACGAACGATATGAATTATGTCAGCTAATTTGTCCACATTCAAGTGTAATTTGGAAACATATTCTTAAATATATTGCATACCTTGCCCGCCAGAGTTGTCTTTGGAAATAATTCCATCAACAATTTTCGAGTAGCCAACACAGAGGAACGAATCAAACTTCTATTTGGTCCAATTGAAACCATATCTTCATGCCGAACTTGATTGACATGTTCCTCTTCCAGATGATTTTTCATAATCATCAAACTTTTTATTTTATCTGAATTGCAACAAGAAAATAATTAATATTGATTTAATTATCGAGCAAATATGTATACTCACCGGATTTATACAAATATTTTGCACTAATAATTTCGCCGTTTTCCAACCTTACCGAAACCGGCTTTCCCAGCTGCAAGAATGCGCTTAAAATATCTTCTTTTTTAATAATTTGATAGTAATATTTATACTGAATTGATGCGATTCTTACTAGAATATAAGATGCTGCAAGAAAATAAAAGAAATTAATTTTGAAAACTTCACTACATAATATCAATACTTACCCATAATCAAATTTCAGAAGCTGCAGATATTTATTTCTTAATTTAAAACTATTTCTTATAATTGATATATTCTATTATATAATAAATTTAATTAACAATTTTATACAAACATTTGCAAACATAATTACAACATCATATAAGTTATCTACATTGCTAATAACATTGCATTTTTTTTAATTAAAATTGTTATAATTAATGATTAATTATATTGTTATATTTATTTTATGATTGTTAATTGAAAAGTACATTAATTTTATAAATATTATTAAATATAGATGTTTCACTTTTAGTTGGAAATATAATTTATTTTGTACTAACAAATTTATATGAAAAATTTCTTCTTCTTCTTTTTTCCTTTTATTTTTTTCCTGCTCCTCTCGTTTAAATTTTATAGTATATACATTCTATTTTACCTTCTTTTTAAAATAATATATTTAATGTTGGAATTTTTGCTTAAAAAAAAACTGAAGTCGTAGTTTTTACTAGAACGAAAAGTGCGAGACTATGCAAGTGGTATCTGAGGCCCATAACGGAATGAATGTTCTAAGTCTTGTATTATTACTCCCCGCTTACAAATATTTTTTTATGCATCTGAAGGATGTGAAGGAATACAGCTTTGAGGAACGTAAAAGACAAGAAAGAGTTTACGTATTTCTTACTGGAAAAAGTAATGGCAACTCTATTTCTACCTGTTTGCTATGGTTCATTATTTAATACTCTAACGACGATTAAACCAAGCTTGTATATGCAATAGATCCATGTGAGCAATAGAAAACAAATTATAAAAATCCCTTTTCTCTATTTTTTTGAGAAAATACAAAAAACGGTTTAAACCGGTTTTGTAGAAAAGTTGAGATTTGAAAACCGGTTTTTATATAAACCCTGATAAGAACATATATTAAAAATAAAAATATGAAAAATTTTAGTAATCAAATTCATATATAATAAAATTTTAATGGGAGTCGCACTTGACTCAACGAAGAGCCGAATTTGTGCACATTTTTCATATAATTATAAAATCAAATGCATGCAAAAATATAATAAACTTAGTAAGAATCTATGGATATTTTAACCACTTTTTGTAATTTTATTTGTTTGGTTATACTACGTAATAATTAATCTTGTGCAATGCCCCATTTATTAGATTGCTTTATGGTTTCGAAAGTATTAAACAGGGAGCGGATTTATGCTGCTTCTGGTGGAAGTCACAGGGCGATTTTCCAAACGACTCCCCCGTCGCGATGAAAAAATAAATAAATAAAAATAACACAAAAACCGCCGGACCGACCAGAAAAAAAGAACCAATGATGAACAAAAAATAAACAAGGAGAGCACATAGAATGTCCCCCGCAGCTTTAATATATTCGCATATAATAACTGGTCACCGCGTGTTGCCAGAATCTAAATCAGGAACCGACTGGACCTTTAGCCTTTTTCATTTTTTTTTACTCTCATCTTCATTATTTATTTCCTTCTTTTCTGTAGTTTTCTTTGTCACTCGTTGGCTTTATTGCATTGTGCATATCTCTCTATCCATTTTGCAGCTAGCGAAATGCGAACGTACCCAGCGTGTGGCCATTGTTCTGCTAAAACGGCCGATGATGAATGTGCGAAAGAGTTGAACGAGCGATATTTTTCTGCTGGAGTTTAGCCGCCGCCTCCACAGCCGCCCGAGAAATTACCGGAGCGAGGAGCGTGATTAAGATTAATCGGCCCCCGCCGCCTCCGACGGCCCCCCACGGGATCTATATTTGAAATTAATTGCATTTTTCATTGTATCGGAATCAATAACACAACGAAAATATTCTTCGTCTTCGCCTGCTGAGAGCAAGAATACTGTCGATACAGCCAATGTATATTAATCTCTGGGAGAGCACAAAAAACCTACTTTTTCTTTCTTGAGAAGTTATAATGCCGTATAGTCGTCCAAATCGTTATTCAACCTCTTAGGACTGAGTTGCTGAAAATTTTAAAGTCTTATTTTCTCTTCATATTATTAAACTTAATATACATATTAATATTTTTAATCAGTATCGTCGCTATGAGCGGTCAATCAGACTATTATGGGGCCCACAAAAGGTAGTACTTGAGTCCCCCGCTTATACTTTGGGGCCCCACAACATATTTATGATCGGGGCCTCAAACTCCAAAGGACTTTTCTTTTTTAATAAACAACAATACCAAATATATTCTATAAATTAGTTTATACCATATAATATACATGAAAAACAAATTTTTTAGGCATATAATGAAGATAAAGTAAATTATTGAGCAGAAATACAGAAATGCATTTAAATCATTATTTAATGTAGAAATCAATTAATTTATTTATTTATAATATATGATTAATAAACTATATATTAACTATACTAATTGTTAATAATTTAAGTATATTTTTATTGATTATAAAAAATATTTTTTTTTCCGTTGAACGTTCATGTCATTTCATTAAATAAAATTTTTTATAATGTTTATAATTTAAACTTATTATTATTGATTGAAATTACATATGAATTACAAACTATTCTAATAAATATAAACAATAATATTCTAGTCTATTAATAATACATTGATTTTGAAGCATTAAATACATATAAATTATATATTAAATTTGGTTAATGTCAAAATTGCACTAATTAAACCTTTCATTATTTATTCAATTAACATTTTGTTAACTAATTTGGGTACATTTTAGTAGTAAAAGTTACATAATGTTAACGAAAGTGTATTTGATTAAAAACGATTATTTGTATTACGTTTACGAAGTTGGAATGCAAGAAGTTTATTTAAACAGACCACGGAAGTCTCTGGAAGTATATACTTTAAGGTGTTAAGGGGTGGTCTTGTAAGTTGGAAGTTGAATGTCATTTAGAAGATCCAGCAGAGAAAGCGAAGGGATATGATTTAAGAGTTTGCTTAATAAAAGGGTCCTAATTTCCCTTCGTTCGCTTGACTTATATGAGTCCCATCCTCGTAACTTAGTGAGATTTAAAATGCAGGAGACAAGGGGGAACCTGCGGGCTGCTGTCTACGGGCGGCAAAAGGTGAAGGTGGAGGAGGATGAAGGTGGAGGCAGATCCCTTTTTAAAATGTATAAATAATTTCTCGTCGTCCGTTTCATAAAGTTTCTCCACCGGAGATTACACTATAACGCGGCCGGAAGTTAATATTTTCTATTAGGAGCAGGCCCCTCCGTACACTTAAGAGCAGGCGCGCGTTTCAAAAACTTTCAGTTTAGTTGTAATGAAGTGCTTTATACCTACGTGCATATACATCTTCTCGTCGTTGGGTGTGTTCCGTCCTTCATCTACTTCCATTTTTTTGGTTTCTGCTCTCTATCTCTCTCTCTCTGCGTTTGGGCCCCTCTCTCTCTTTTGTGGATGGTGACATTTTTCCGAGGATGATTTAGACCGGATTTGCATTGCAAATTCCCACGGCCGAACGAGTCCTGGGACAGATTGTAAACGCGCACGCAATTTTTATCTTGCACAGAGAGGGAAAAAAATATCATGGAAGGCATTCACAACAGCCTAATTTCGTTTTAATCTTTCAGGACAACCTATTTGCCCTTACAGTCTAGCCCACAAGTTGAATACTGAACAAGATATTTAACTTAATTTTAAGAGTTGAATTTTAGCTAAGTGAGACCTGATGACTTTAGTGAAATAATCGGCAATGTAAATAATGAAATATAGCAATACCTCGCATAGTGCGGATAAACGATTAAGCCGATATTCAATTGTTTGAAATCGGATTAATCAATAAAACCGATTATTTTTTGATTATAGTCTGCATACTTGCAGTTTTTAATTTTTCAATTCAGATTTTAATGAATTTGTATTATGCGAGGTCCAAATATTTCAATGAAAATATGCAGTTTATTATTATATTGACAATGCTTTTCGAATAAATTATATCACATTTTTTTATTATATATAAAAGATGAACACCTAAAATATAATGTAATGTAAAAACAAAATGTTTAACTTAAATAGAAAAAAAAATAGAGTTAGAACATAATAAATATGTAACATTCACATCTGAACAAATTATATCGTACTGAACTTTATATTACTAAGTCTATGTTAGTAATATACAATATAAAACTAAGACTGCAAACATGTATATACATATCCTTTGAATATATATACTTATAAAATTAGTATATTATTTAGATTAAATTATTGAATTTTATTCGAAAGATATAACTATTGGTGGTTCATTTTTTATAGGCAATTAACAGTTTTGTTTTAAATAAAATAAGAATAATAATATTTATAAAATAACAAAATAAAAAAACTCAATACAATAGTATAAATATCGTAAATCAAAAAAGTGAACTGCTTCAAAGAGCTATTGACCATGGGTCTTTCTGCCCGAGCTAAAATATGAATAATATAATTTATCTAGTTTAGTTGTTTTGTATATAATCAACATTCAAATTATCTAAAGGTCCCAATCAAAATGCCCAATAAATATTATCAGGGCATACTAATATTCTTGCTATTGACCTGCTTGACGACAGAGAAACAATAATTAGACTTAAGCATTATAAACCACTAGATTTAGTATATAGATTTAAGTAATTATTAATCTTCATAATGGAAAACTTTATCCATTTCATGTCCACGGTAATTAAATTTATTTATTGTTTATACTGAATAAATAAATTATTACGACAAAAAAAGTATAGTATTTGGATCAAGTCTTCGTTTAAAAGAAAACGAATACTATTTTCTTTCTAAAACTGATGCAGGTATAATAAGTAGATGTTAAGTTGAAGTTGAAACAAAAGATAGAACTGAACATGAAGAAGTACTAAAATATGTAAAAAGGAAGGCAACATCTATTACAATTTTGAAAACAAATCTTTAGAAAAATAACACCCACCTTAGTAAAAAATGATGAAATGTATTATTTGCTACTACAAATGTTATGGTAATAAAATGTGTCATTTGCATCATTTTAGATAATATGAAAAAGTGATATGAAATTAAATCTTATTTAATTTTAATAAATTCACAAATTAAATCTATATCTATTTTAAACTAGTTTTGAG